AGCCCGATGCGCAGATTGCTGGGGGCAGAGAGGAGACACGTCACAGGTCACGGCCCAGCCCCTCCCAGCCCGCACCACCAGCCCGCTGCCGCCCGGGGCATTCGCAGACCCGCGCCCAACGGGTCGCGGGGCGGACATCCCTTGGGAACAACGCCCTGACCCTTCGGGATCAAGTCGGCCATCTTCAGAGGAAAAGCCGCTCGCGTTTACCCCAGCCAGCAACAGGAAAACCAAGGGTTAATTCCAGTTTGTAGCATCAACTGGTCCATCTAATCCCAGTGTTGAAATACTTCTGGGGGACAGGGTGAGCTTTCTGAGGACAGTATGGGACAGCAGCAGAGCAGAAAGGGGGGTCAAACTAGAAACTAGTTCTCAGCTATTACGAGTTTATAAGTACTACTAAATAATAACTGTTAACAACTTAACAACTAGTAACCATAATAAGTGAATAATAACCACCTACTTTAAACGTTAAAGAGACCACCAAGCTCTGAAGCTCAGCACTGGCGCTTAGAACTTTGCCAATAGGCGGCTTTTTAAAAGATGTGACAAACAGAAGCTTCATAAAAGTTACAAATATTCCAGTCAATACAGCGAAAGAAAAGAAATGCTCTCCTCCAGCGCCCGCAGTGCAAGTGCTTGGCCCGGGGCAGGCACACAGGCGAGCCAGCAGGGCACAGTGAGGCCAGGCACCGGCACCGTACAGCCCGCAGCGTCAGGGGCCGAATCTCAGCAGTGATGAACGATGTAAAATTCAGATTTTTAAAGGTGTTTTTTTTTTTTCCTAATAATCCAGGTAACCAACGTTTTCACTGCTTAACAAACCGCCAAACGTTCAAACACGTCTGTAAAATGTCACAAATGTTCTCTGTCGTGAGGCGTGGCGATAAGCTAACAGAGTTTGAAATGGTCTTCACGCAGCTCACGTGAGCGAGGTAAGAGGACACCACCGGTGCGACGCGCGGGAGCGCAGCCTCTTGCCAGCGGGCTGAAATCTGACAGCCACGAGGCTTTCCGAGACGCCTGGCCTGAACTGGCCCCGTAGTGGAGCGGCAAACCTTGCGGCCGACTTTCCCTGCAGCTAAGGACAACCTCCTACGAGCTGACCGCGCAGCGTTCGGGTAACGCGCAGCAGCGGATCAGGCCGGCTGCGTGCACCGACGCCCTG